TACCGTTTACGTGTCAAAGCCACAAATAATGCCTGATGAAGCGCTCCAGATGGAGGGCGAAACGTCTCAGCACAAAAAGAAACCATCCAGAGGACCTGACTGAACATGGTTGGATTGTATACCTGGATTACGCATGAACCTGGATTGAGCATGACTTTTGGTGAAAATAATGCCTTGCATGCTGTCATCAGTCCAAAAACACAGGAACCCCTTAAATCGCATAAATTTAGTTTAATCGTGTAAAATGTGAAAACTGGAGGAGTATTGTCCTGGTCCGGACCCAGTTGATGAGTTAGGAGTTAATCTGTTATTGATGATCTGCTGCCATATTCTGCCAGTATCCAAGGACTCTGGCTGCAACAGGAAGTTCTTCACAAACTAAATCTCATCATGTCAGCAGAGGCTGGTGGTCGTTCCAGTGTTATTGTAGTTTAGTGAGATGCGAGGGGCAAAAAGCTCTACTTAAATATTTCATAAAATAATAATTTAATATGATCAGTGGGATGAAAGACCACATGAAGCAGCAAACAGTGACACTAACATCTGGATCACATTCATCCATCACACCCAAACTGGTGAAAGATGTGAAGAACCAAAGGCTATTGCAAAGAATATGAAGAAGCAAAGTAAAGTTTGATATCAAAGAAACTAATAAATACATCAGAATCTGTTGTTGATCATTTCATCATTTGTTCAACCAGTTATTTAAACTGGTTAGTCCCATTGAGCCATTAAGGACACATGTTGAGAAGTTAAAAAACTACAACTTCAGGTCTGCTGGACATGTGACAGAAACCAGACTGAACATCCAATTTGAAATCAAACAAAAGAATAAACTGCTGAAAGTTTAGTTTTAAAAACAACTTTGTTTTCAGACAGTGACAAAAAAGTAAAAATTACTTTTTTTAAATTAAAAATTACATATTTTATTAAATTTCCAACTGAAGTACAAGATAAAAAGGTAATAAAAACAGTTTCATGACTGAAGGATCACCTCACTGGGCAAACATAAAACTGTTAAAACATACACATAAATATAAATAAATAAGTTTTTAAAGACTGAGGTGATGCAGTGAAGGCTTCAGGACCCTCAGAGAAAATGTTGCCAAGCTGACAAACATCTGACGGCTCTCACTGAACTGGACCGGCCTCAGGAGGTGAGTGACGCGTGCTCCTCGTGAGGTCATGGATGTTTGCAGTAAAATAGCTTCATGTGGGTTCTTGTTATTTTCATCCAGCTGCTGGTTTCTGAACTTCATGCTGTAAGAACAGTCCAGTTTGTGACGATCAGGGGTTGTGCCATACGACTGAAGACCCCCACCAGCTTTGTATGGAAACAAAGTCGGGTCCTCTGGACGGGTTACATGTCGCCTTTCATCCAAAGGACTTCTTCAGTCCTAGGAGCTGCAATAAACTGCATCTTCACATAGTGGATCATATGTGACCCGGAGGAGGTAGACCCACTAGTGTTGATCCACTATGTGAAGGTGCTGTTTATAACACTGAAATTGTTGCAGCTCCTCAGACTGAAGAAGTCCTTTGGATGAAAGACAACATGTAACCATCCAGAGGACCTGACTGAACTTTGCTGGATACCCCAGTTGTTCTACAATAAACTTTATTCATAATTTGAGTTGTGTGTTGACCGACTTTGGATCTTGATTCTTATGTTTTAACGATTGTTGAAATTAACATTAATGATCAATTCTATTATTTATTGCAAAAAGATTACAAATAACTAAATTATTAGAATTACAAAAAAAAAAAAAACAGTAGCATTTTAAGAGTAAATAAAATTAACAGCCAGCAGTCAACATCTGGTTAAAATGATCAGCTGAGGTCAGTGGGTAAACATCATGATTTTTATTTAATATTTACAAAATATGGCAGATAAAGTATGAATCCACACACGCCAATGTAAAAAACAATAAGTCATAAATATAGACATGTCAAAATAAAAGCATAACATATTTTAAAGGACAATAATTTAATTCATGGTTCAATATCTTACAGTCGCTTCATTACAAAGAAAGAACAGTTGATGTGCGTTAAATGAGTCTGCAGGAACACATTTACATCATCACCTGCACTCAAAGTGGTTTGTAACGATGCACTGATGCTCACTGCCGCAGCTGTTCATGCTGGGTCCTGTGATGCTCTTCAAGCTCGCACAGTCTCACATCGTAAAAAACTGCCCGTGAATTAAAAGCTTGGGGTGAACCCGACACTTTCATCCTCATGTTAAAGTTCAAACTTTGCACGGCTGCAGTTAAAAACCATCATAAATAAACGTGAACCATCAGCTGAAGGTCGAAAGTCTACAGACGACGAGCTGCTTCTCCACGGACGAGACGTCCATCAGTCTGAATCGAACCGGTCGACAGCGTCTCCGCTTCCTGTTCCTGCTCGTTTGTGGACCCGCCTCAGCCGTGGTCCCAACCGAGCTGAGAAAACTGTTCTGACGTCTGCAAACTGCAGCCGAGGATCCACGGCACGTCGTCCAGTGACAGCTGGACGGACAACTAGAAATATGAGCTCAAACATCCAGCCCACGTTGCTATGACGATCCCACCCAGAGTGGGGGAGAGCTCACAAACCTCCCACAGCCTGGTTCAAACCAGGAGCCCAAGAGATAATTACATTACGTCCTCTCAGTTCATCAAGTCCAATAAATTATTTGTTTTCTTGTCACCGTCACTGAACTCTCCTTAAAGCTGCTCGTCCTGATCACAACCAACGATGGAGCTTCAGGTTTCGTCGAACACCAACCCATTCCAAAACCTTCTCCTCACGTCCACTCATCCAACATCCCTCCACCTCTGGCTAGATGTTTGCTGCAGCTGTGTGTGGACCTTCATCTCTTCTTGCTTCGGCTTCTACGGTTCTGTACAGACTTCCTGAACACCGCAGTCGTCCGCTATTCTTAGAAATCACTGCAAGAACAAAGAAACACAAAAGAAATTTAAATTTCTGCCCAAAAAACTACCGAGCATGACAATTTGTCTAAAAGTCTAAAGTAGCTAATACTAGCTAAAAGCAGTGAAACAGTAGCTACATTTCAAATGAGCTAAACAGCAGCTAAAAGCAACACAGGAAGACAGAGCAAATATGCTGAAGCAAATGTCAAAGAATATTTTGGAAGGAACTGTAGAGTAAAATCCTGATGCAATAATCCAGGTAGAAAAATCTAAAACAGTTCAATCTGGTCCTCTGGACATTCATAAAACAAAACAACAACAAA